AGGATATCGACAAATTCATGGTATTGACTATGATGAATCCTTTTCTCCAGTTGTCATGTTTAAATCAATAAGGATACTTTTAAGCATCGCCGCGTATTATGACTATGAGATATGACAAATGGATGTCAAAACTGCTTTCCTAAATGGATACCTTGAAGAGTATGTGTACATGACACAACCTGAAGGTTTTGTCGATCCGATAAATGCTAATAAAGTATGCAAGCTTAAGAGATCCATATATGGTCTTAAGCAAGCATCTCGGAGTTGGAATCTTCGTTTTAATGAGGTTGTCAAAGAGTTTGGTTTCATGAAAAATGAAGAAGAACCGTGTGTATACAAGAAGGTCAGTGGGAGCGCAATAATCTTTCTGGTATTGTATGTAGATGTCATACTACTCATTGGAAATGATATTCCCATGCTTCAATCTGTTAAGACTTGGCTAGGAAATTGTTTTTCAATGAAAGACTTGGGCGAGGCAACCTATATATTAGGGATCAAGGTCTACAGGGATAGATCAAGAAAACTAATATGATTAAGCCAAAGTACATACATTGACAAAATCTTTAATAGGTTTTGCATGCAAAACTCTAAGAGGGGATTCTTGCCAATGACGCATGGCATAACACTCAGCAAGACTCAGTGTCCTCAAACACAAGATGAGCGAGATCGCATGGATAGAATCCCATATGTTTCGGCATAGGATCTATCATGTATGCCATGTTATGTACTCGTCTTGATATAGCACATGCATTGAGTGTGACTAGCAGATACGAGTCAGACCCTGATGAGGGCCACTGGACCGCTGTCAAGAATATTCTAAAGTACTTAAAAAGAACTAAGGATATGTTCTTGGTCTATGGCAGACATGAAGAATTGGTTGTAAGTGGTTACACTGATTCGGGTTTTCAGTCATACAAGGATGACTTCAAATCGCAATCCGGTTTTGTATTTTGTTTAAACGATGGAGCTGTGAGTTGGAAGAGTTCTAAGCAAGACACGGTTACTGATTCTACAACGGAAGCTGAATATGTTGCTGCATCAGAAGCAGCAAAGGAAGCACTATGGATAAAGAAGTTTATCACTGAGCTTGGTGTCATTCCTAGTAGCACCGATCCAATAGATTTGTATTGTGACAACAATGGAGCGATTGCTCAGGCTAAAGAGCCAAGGTCACACCACAAGTCTAAGCATATTCAAAGACGTTATCACCTGATACGTGGGTTTATAAGTAATGGTGAGGTAAAGATGTGAAAAGTTCCCACGGATGAGAACGTTGTTGATCCTTTGACCAAGCCGCTTTCTCAATCCAAACATGATAGACATATCAGTGCAATGGGAATTCGTTTCATGAATGAATGGTCCTAGTGCAAGTGGGAGACTGAAAGAGATATGCCCTAGAACTATTCATATGTGTATGACTTATAGTTGGATATCTTATGCTTATTAATAAGGTTTATTTTATTTCACTTTATATTCTTAAGTATAGTATATTATTATTACTAGTTCACCAAGTATGTGACTTGGTTGTGAAATACTAGTCGTTTCGTAAAATATACTATGTTCCTAATCATATCTCTATAATCTAGGATTACATAGACATATTGATTAGAGTGTGGGTTAGCTGATGAATATGTTCCACAAGTCATGGATATGGTGATATCAAGCTAAACACACTAATACTTGTTGGTGAACAAATATTGGATTGACCCGTTTTGGGAACACTGCAAGGAAATGTTATAAATGTCATCAGTGATGTTCCCTTTAGTGAAATCATATTGTCCTCGGACCTGAGATCGCCATGGTTACCAATATAAGGATTAATACATTAGACATTATCAAACGTTACTCCTAAATGAGTAACTATAAAGATAATGATCAAATGTATTATGGAATATATAGAGGTATGTGGTTGGTTAAGATGGGATTTGTCACTTTCATATATTGAGAGAAGATATCTTTGGGCCCCTTGATAGGTATATTTAATTATAGCATGGCCATGAACAAATGAGGTGTCATTTGTATTAAATATACTTGGAAATCAAGATACAATGATTGAACTATACAAGAATGACACTCGCCTAGTCTTGTGTTCAATCTAGATATCGTTTGGCAAAAGGAATATATATGTGACATAATATATTTATAAGTTGTGTCGTTTTGAATTTTATATCCTTTGGATAATAATAATAATAATGTCTTACTAGAGACCGCTTTTTATTTGTATAATTAAAAGAATATGTAATTATACTACCAAAGGAATATAAACCTATAGGGTCGCACACTAAAACGTTTTGGATCAGAATCGGATAGTGTTTGGGTCTGAATGACTTCAAGCCCATATCCGTTTGTTGCTAGGGTTTTCTACATTATGTTCTCTATAAAAGGAGGAGCCTAAGAGCTTAATAGGGCTGGCCGTTCTCACACATACATGAGACAAAACATAATTTGAGAAAACCCTTTTTGGATGCTAGTACATTGAGCAAGTCTGATCCGACCGTGTGTGCACACCGTAGAGGCGTGGTACTTTCTACGCTAGAACGACATAAACAAGTGCTAAGACCTAGGTTTCCATTGATCCATCAAAAGGTATGGTTTCATACGAACTTATAATGATTAGTTTCTTGATTTATTGCAAACTATATTGCTTATTAGCAATTGAATTTCATGGAATAGTATAGATCCTTTTGTAAATATTTTTGCTTCGTATCAAGCATGAGATGCATGTTCGTAGCTCGTTTCCTAACAGTGTATTGTCAAACTATTGTTCATTTTCAACCTATGTGTGCCTCCATGGGCTGGTTTGCTGCTTGTACCCCAACTGTTTGCATCTGAATGAGTGCTTGTTTTGCTTTATTGAGTGTGTCAAGGCTGATTTCCCCGTTTTTAGGTAACATGCCCTGTCTTTCAAGTTTTTCATTTCCAACATGCCTCAGCTTGAAGTTGTCCCCCCCCCCCCTCTGTGCTTTATTATTTCCTCCTTAACAAACAGAAAGTTTGAGAACACTCTGTTTAATGTGGTGGTTGTGAGAGCATCAAATGTTGATGTCACAGCTTCTACTAATTGGGAAATTGACTTAGGGTCTTGATGTTCCTTTAGTGAGTCAATGGCCCTAAAGAAGCCCAAGTCAAGGACATTTAGGTCAGGACTGTTAGGGGGCTGAAATTGTAACTATATGTCCCATCCATTTGCAGTTGCACATTTTACAAAATCTTCATCTTTTGTATCAACATGTGGTCTTGCATTGTCCTGCGGAATGATAACTCTATTGTTAACACTGTCTGGCCACTTAGATTTGATGGCAGACAGCACATGCTACAACATCATGTCTTTCATTACAGCCCTTGTGACACTTAATGTAGGTTTTGTCTCTATTGTGCTTGTTATTGTGTTCTTGCTTGATCTCTTTGCTTTCTCTTGAAATGTGAAAGGAAAGATACCTACTTTCCCATCACATATGACATCCCCTGCATCCCCAAACCTTGGTCTGCCCACAACTTCTAAAGACATTATTTTGGGTATGAGTTTCTTGGACTGAGCAGGTCTATATGGATCTTCTTCAGTAATGTGAGTGTAAAAGTTGGTTGTTTCCTTGGATAAAAAAACCATTTTTCATCAATGTGAATATGGTCATAAAAATGATGAAAAGTGCGATTTCTTGGGGGGGGGGGGGGGGGGGGGGGGGCTATGAGTTATCAAGTGGCCTAAACAAACTCTAACCTTTTAATTTTGCCTGCCTCTGTCAATAAAGGTTTGATTGCATTTGAGTGCCTTTTGATTTGCTTAGCTTTCACTAGTCTGTGCACGATTGACTTTGAAACTTGCATGACATAGCGTAAAGACTTGATGTTCTTTCTCTTGCGCGGTGGGATATCCTTTATGCAGTCTAAGTCAACTTCTACCCTTTTCGTGCCTACATTTCCCTTTTGTAGGCCTTGAACATTAATGGACAAGCCTTGGTCCATTTGTTGCTTTGCTTTTTTCCACAAGTCATGAACTGTTCTTCTTGAAATGTTGAACTGTGATGTTGTATTTGTAACAATACCCCTTTGAAGTCACCCCTCACTGTAGTTGGCTAAGAGAATTTCAACAACCCTAATTCTCTCTATTTGTTGACTTCTTCCATTTTTTGGTTGGTGCAGGAGCATTTAAGGTCATGGAAAGGTTTGGTTGTGTTGGCTGTGTTGTTGTGGCTGCCATTAGGAGTTGCAAAGTGTAAAGGCTCTTCAATCCTCATTTTTTGTTGTTGTGAGAGTAAATGAAGAAAGATGTTGATAGGGTAGATATAAATAAAGTGTAATGGGATGGAAATTCAAAAGCTTTGGCCGAAATATGGGAGGGATTTTTTTAGTGTGTTCAAAGTGTTTAGAATAGATTAGATGAAGAAAGATGTTGTAATAGTATTGGATGTGATATGTAATGAGTCTGATTGGATTGACTACTATTGATATTTAATTTTTTAACCCCGTAATTATTGTTCATTACCCCAAAATTTAATTCCCTTTATTTGTTGTAGCCGCAGCCCCTTGAGGGCATTTTAGGTAAGTCAATCCCAAAAATTAATCTACCTAAAAGTGTGTGATAGTCAAAGTGTGAAGTTGTTTTTGGAACGGAGAGAATATATTTTTGGATTAACTAAGACACTATAGAGTTTAGTGTCTTTTTTTTTGAAACTAAATAAATACATTTTTATTAATTAATAAGATCATTCTCAATCTCATTTACAATGCAAAATGGAATAATGTCATTATCGCAACTAAGACCTGACTGAATAACGCTAGCCCTTTGCAAGTGCATAAGCAGCACAATTAGCAGATCTTTTACAATAATTTAAAGAAAAGGATGTATTCTCTTATAATGATTGCCTAATATCATTCACCCATATGTCAAGATAGGACCTTCCCCGCTCCCGTTATCGGCTTTGGGGGCAACCGGGCAAGGCACCTAGGCACACGGAAACGGAAAGATAAGTGATGAATGTAATTTAGGAGAGATTGAACAAGGTAAAAGATGAATGTGTAGTGTATTGAATGAGAGTTACGTCTTATAGGGTTACAAGGTCTTCCATAAAGAATATATAGAGGGAAATAACGGGTAGGCTGCTGCTAGTATGAGCCTGATAGGCCCAACTATGTAAAAGGCTAATCTAGTAGATACAAACAAATATAGAAATTGTTCAACAATATAAATGATGTTCGTTGTCCAGGCTCAATAGTAATAGAATGGGGTCCAAAGTTATAAACTATAAAAATGGTTTGCTTCTTCATTTGCCCCTTCTGAGTTCTCGTTTTCATGAATCCCTTTGTCGCCTCAAAGACCATCAATGTTGTCATAGGTCCCTCACCATGAAAGTTCCACTTCAAATAATTTTCCACAATTCCCTGGCAAAAGCTTGATCAAGAAAATTTGACAATCCATTCTTGAATTCTAAGGAGTCTATGTTTATACATCCGGGTTCTATCCACTACCTTAGAGTTCACTAAAAGGGAGAAAATAAGAGAGAATAAAATATAAAGTGATTGCAACTCCAGCTAATACAAAATAAATTAATTAATAGAGCAAAGTCCTTTGTAAAGGAAGTTAGATAGAGACAAAATATAAAAAAAATTGTTCTGAACTACAGAAACAAATGTCACAGTAGTGCACAAATAAAATTGAAAATAGTTAGAGCAAAATAAGCGAGATAGGAAGTTATGTTTGAATCAAAATAAGATAAATAATGGCCCTTTTAAATAACACTAGCTTTAACTAGAGTATTAACAAAAACATGTAAACAACAAATTGTCTATCAATATGATTACTAGAAGCAAGTAGTACTTCAACAGAAAATTATGTGATAAATTATACTACGTACATGAACTTAAGTTATACGATAGTATTATTTATATTATTTTTAAACTAGCTTAGTACCCGTCTTATGCATGTCCTCATATTATGTTTGATATAAGTATGTGAAATTAGGTTAGGTGTAAAATAACCAATTAACCAAAAGAGAAAATTGTAATATTATGTATCCATTGCAATACCATTGAATAGTTTATCTAAATTTGTAATTGATTATATTGATTCAAAATAATGTGTTAATGTTTAAAATTTAAATGTGCAGTGGGCTGGGCCATATTGCCCCTAGCTATGCGCTATTTTAATGGGACATTCAACATATGTATGATAATTAAAGGATAAAGTAATAAAGTTAATGAAATGATTTAAAACTAAAGTTAAAAGATGTATTCTTTGAGATTTCTTATTTTCATTTCCAATATTATTAGTATGAACAAAAAATACAATAAATAAGACCTTAGTTCCACCACGCATGCTAAAATCCATAATATTTGTAGTTTCAAAATATAAAAACTAAAAATATTCAAAACAGCCTCATAAATATAAACTTAATCACTAATTTCAAGTCAAACTTCATTAAATTAGACCAGTTAAATTTTCTCACAATGTTGGTCCATTTAGAGATAGTGCAACAAATGTAATATTAAGTGAAATGTATAAAACGTTGTAATAATGGTCTGGAACAAAAATAATAAACAGATGAATACAATTATCCCCTGCCTAGACGGCTTGACACCTCCTCGGCTCCTCACATCCCCACTAAAACACACGGCTCAAGAAAACAGCCCCTTCGTTCCATTCAATATCAGGGTCCAGGGAGGTCCGCATGCATGCCCATCTCATTCTAAAAATAGTATCTTGTTTTTGTTTGCTGGGCAAAATGGGTTTACAACTTTACACTTTACAGGGATATCTATATATATACTACGTATATACTACTTTGAGGCAGGGGAAGCACATCCCAATGCCATTGGGAATTTCAAAGGCCATTTGAAAAAATGCAAAGCTTCATTGTAAGAAACACTTTGAATCGATAGTGAGGTAGAGTTTAAATTAATAATTTCACAGAGCTTTATGAAATAACATACACCTTGCCCGACTTTAAATGATAAGATTAGTTTTCGAGAAGCTGGAAGGTTAGAAACATTTGGTGCATTGAGCTCATAATAATTTCTTTTGGCAACCGTTTTGTAATTATTTCAATTAAACAAATCATTAATTGCTAATCCATCCCTCGATTATGTCATTTTCAGAATCATTACACTCAATTATCCTCCTACATGATATAGTGTTCCCGCCCAATTTCCCTCCCACTATTTTGTTTTTATATAGTATATAGATTAAATTACTTAGCATGCACCAAACTATATCAAATAGCAGCAATATCATGCTAATAATGTGCTTTGTGCTAAACTGAAATCAGTTCACTAGGTGCTCGGTCTCATTCCAAACCGCAAAAGGGACGGGTTTTTAACTAGAACCGAATCAGCCATTTAACTAGAACCAAATCAGCCAATGGGTTGTAAATCATATCCAGGAACAACTTATTTTCTAGATTTTTGGATCACCTTTGATATTGTGTCCAGAAACTCTTGCATACCAAAACCTATCTGGTCTAGTACTAGCAATTTTTATTTTGCAGTATTTGTAAACCAACGGTCTAACGTCTAAATAGTTTCATTCTCTCAACCAAAATACCTAGAAGTGCAATTGTTATATTGTTGATTTCTTCCACTTTTTCATTAGGGGAGACTTCACTCATTGATTAAAAAACTAAAATGCTGGGAAATAATAAAAATGGCTAGTATGACCAAACATAGAACAATGGCAACCCAAAGGTCCACTACATGAATCAATGATTTGTATTGAGATGGAGACTCCACTATATGTACTAGCAAGTAGAGATCCTACTAAAAAGAAAAAGAAAAACGACCAAACAGGTTCTACCCGCTACCAGTACAGACACCGCAGCCTTGAGCCAACTACAATCCAAGTCATACCAACCACCTCAAATGTGGTTAACCGTAGCCACCAGAATTCCCAGGTAAAGGTCCATTTACTAATACTGATTTTGTTTTAGTTTTTAACATATTTAAAAAAAAAAACAAAATCAGACCAATAACATTTTGGAGCAAGAACAACAGGTGGTTCGGCTGGGCCCAAGTACCAATACCAGTCTGTAGATTTTATAGTTAAAATTCAGAGAAGAAAAAAAAGGCTAAACTTAAAGAGTGCTGACGTGCACTCAAAATAAATACAATACAACGAATATACGTAGTATAACGCAGTAAGGTTCGTATCCACAGGGAAAGGAATACTTTTCTTTAAAAACACTATAATGGGGGGTTTAGATTTGTTTGGTTTAAAAACACTAAGATAAACAACCTATATGAGTTTAATTCAATGAGATGAGGACTTGGTCTTGCTTTTATCCACTTAATGAAATGTTCGTCGATCCCGGTTATATATTTTACTATCTTCCTCTCGAATACTCAATCGAGGAGTATATCCAGTTCTTCGAGGGTAGTTATTAATAACGAGATGCGTTCATTAATAAAACTTACTATCGAGTCAATATAGAACAAGAGTCGTATATTAACTTGATAGTAGCAATAAACTTAAGATGAAAACGATTGAGATTGATAACCTCAACACAAGCGGTTTATTGGTTTAATCAATATAATTAATTCCCTTTGGCATATTAACCATGAGATGCATGCATTAATATTCCAAGTTTACTACCGTTGAAAGAACCGGATTAATAACAAGCGTCTTAACCGATCGATTCTAGTAATAATTAATATGAGAAACAATACTAGTTGATACTTTAAGTAATGTTTAAGATATTAACATGAAATATGAATAGGAATTAATTAATACTCAAGAAAGAATATTAAAGAAAATGAATCCTACTATGATTAATATCAAGATGTTAACTATTTGTCATCTTAGTAACACTCCCCAATATTAACATAGAGGAAGAAATAGCTATTACTATAACCAATGTCAAGATGTTAACTAATTGTCATCTTAGTAACACTCCCCAACTTTGATATAGAGATAGTATTTTAAAGGAAGAATTAATATTCAAGGAAGAAGATTAAAGAAAATAACTCACAACTTACAAATTCATTAAGCTTCAAAGTAGCAAAACCAAGATGGAAGAGTTTAGCTCCTCATTTGGAGACTAAACATGATGAAAAATATAAAGAAAGAACTATTCTATACTGAGCTTAGATGTACAAAGGAATTGGATAACTTTTTGTGAAGGAAAGGAGGTGTATTTATAGGCTTTTGGGATGGGATTCGGGTACTCGATCGGGTATATACATGGTACCCGATCGAGTATGTGTGTAATACTCGATCCGAGGTATACTCGACCGGTTTCAGGCTGTTTTCCATAAGTATACCCGATCGGGTATATACTAATACCCGGTCGAGTATTCTTAGAAAATGGTATTCGGACCATACTCGACCGATCTTCGTTTAAACTCAAAGGCATACCCGATCGGGTATGTCGGTCTACCCGATCGGGTATAGACATTAAATCGTGGCCGAAATCTTCCCGGCATGTTCCCTTGTCTTCATATCTGATCCGATTTGAAGTTCCAACCTAATACCCGATCGAGTATAGTTAATACTCGACCGAGTATAGACCAAAATTCAGGATCTTCTTTTGTCTTCAAATTTTTGCACCTTCTTTCCACTCTTTGGGTTCACCAACTGTACTTCGAGTGATTAAGACCTGTTTGAGCTCAGAATATATCTAATCTAACCTATTTACAAGAATTTAACAAATTAATCTATTACACCAAAAGTGTGTAATTTCCATAGTAAAGATCAAGCAAAACTAATTAAAAACACAAACATAAATATGGAAATTACAAACGTATCAACTCCCCCACACTTAAACCTTTACTCGTCTCGAGTAAGATCAAATGTTCACAAGTGTCAAGTTTCTCCAAAATTTCCACAGTTCAAAAAAAACAACATACAAACACAAAGACCACCAAGGATGACAAAGAAAAAATGAGTTTTAAACTCAAATTACAAAGAACATCTTGGGTTTAATGGCCTTCTAGTGTTATCTTCTATTCTCCTCCTCTCTTCTTCTTTGTCTTTGATTTCTGAATCTTCTTATTTTTCACAGAGATACAATGAGTGCCTGCAAAAACAAACATTTCTCTCATATCTCTCATTTTACCTAGGAGCCTTTTCAGGTTTTCATCCTAGCATCTCTTTTCATTTTCCATTCTCCCTAACTCACTCATTTTTTTTATAAGCCCTTTTTGCTTAGATTGCCCATTTTGTTGGGTTTTCAACCTAACTAGCATTTATTTTCTTTTATTTATTTATTTTTTTTGTGTAAAAGTTCAAAAGAATTACATGCATAGTGCTAGGTGGGAATAAAAATTACATACCATCATGAGTGTCTCCCCCGCACTTGAATCAAGCACTGTCCCTAGTGCCCGCCTTCTCCACCGTAGTAGCTCCCTCCGAAGCCGCTCCCTTGGCCACCATCTCCCATATACGTGTCCTT